CCCCCCCCTCCTCTCTCTCTCTCCTCTCTCTCTCTCTCCTCTCCTATACTCTCTCGTTCGCTCTCCTCTCGCGCCCTCTCTCGTCGCCTCCCTCCTCTCTCCTCTGTCCTCTCTCTCTCCTCTGTCTCTCTCTCTTCCCTCTGTCCTTGCCTCTCTCCTCTGTCTCTATATCTCCTTCTGTCTCCTCCTCTTCTCTGTCCTCTCATTCCTCTGTCTCTCTCTCTCGCTCTGTCTAATCGTCTCTCCTCTGTCTCTCTCTCTCTCCTCTGTCCTGCTCTCTGTCTCTCTGTCTCTCTCTCCTCTCCTCTGTCTCTCTCTCATCCTCTGTTCTCTTTCTCTCCTCTGTCTTCTCTTTCCATCCTCTTCGCTCTCTCTTCCTCTGTCTCTCTCTCTCCTCTGTCCTCTCTCCCTCCTCTGTCCTCCTCTCTCCCCTCTGTCTCTCTCTCTATCCTCTGTTCCTCGCTCTCCTCCTGTCTCTCCATCACTCTCGTCCTTTGTCTCTCTCTCCGCCCTCTTCTCTCTCTCTCCCTCTGTCCCCTCCTCTCTCTCCTCTGTCTCTCTCTCTCCTCTGTCTCCTTCCTCTCTCTCCCCTCTCGCCTCTCCTCTGTCTCCTCTCGCCTCCGCTGTCTCTCTCTCTCCTCTGTCTCTATCCTCTCTCTCTGTCTCTCTCTCTCCTCTGTCTCTCCTCTCTCTCTTCTCCCTCTTCTCTCTCTCTCCACTGTCTCTCCTCTCTCCTCTGTCTCTCCTTCTCTCTCGCTCCTCTGTCTCCTCTCTCTCCTCTGTCTCTCTCTCCATCCTCTGTCTCGTCTCTCCACTCCTCTCTTCCTCCTCTCATCGTCCTCCTCTCTCTCTCTCTCCTCTCTCTGTCTCCCTCTCTCCCCTCGTATCCGTCTCTCTCCCCATCTCCTCTGTCATCTTCTCCCTCCTCTCTACCCTCTCTCCTCTCATCCTCTCTCCTCCCTTCTTCTCTCACCCTCTCTCTCTCTCTCTCATCTCTCTCTCTCCCTCTCTCTCTCGTCTTCCTCCTCTCCTCATCTCTCCTCCCCCTCTCTCCTCTCGTCCCTCCTCCTTCTCGTGCCCCCCTCTCCTCCCCTCTTCTCTATCTCAATCTCTCTCTCATCCATTCCTCCTCTCTCTCGCTCTCGCTCTCCTCTGCTCATCTCTCTCCTCTCTCGTTCCTCTCTCTCTCTCTCCCTCTAGTCCCTCGTCCCTCTTCTCTCTCTCTCTCTGTCCTCTCTCCTCTCTGTCTCTCTATCTCTGGTCTCTCGTCCTCGGTCTCTCTCTCTCCCTCTCTTACTCGTCTCTCTCCCTCTTCTCTGTCTCTCCTCTCTCTCTGTCCTCTCTCTCTCTATTCTACTCTCTCTCTGTCTCTCCTTCGGTCACTCTGTCACTCTCTCCTCTCTGTCTCTCTCTCTCTCTCTGTCTCTCTTCTCTCTCTCTGTACCATCTCTGCTCTCTCTCTCCTGCTGTCTCTCCCCCTCTCTCCTCTCTTCATCCTCGATCTCTCTCTTCTCTCCCTCCCTCTCATTTCTCTCTCTCTCTCTCTCTTCACGTCTCTCCATCTCTCTCTCCACTCTCTCTCTCTCCTACTCCTCTCCCTCTCCCCCTCCCCCTCCTTCTCATCTCGCCCAGTCTCTCCATCTCTCGCATCTCCTCGTAACATCTCGCACCCGGTTCCCCTCTCTCTTTCTCGCGTCGCTCTCGGCTCCTTCCTGGTCCTCATCTCTCCCCTCTCATCCATCCTCCTCTCACTCTCTCCTCTTCTCACCTCAGTGGTCTCTCTCCTTCTCCCATCCTCTTCCTCTCTCTCATTCTCTTCCTCCTCCACTCCCCGTCCCTCTCCTCTCTCGTCTCCGCTCTCTCACTCTCTCTCACTCCCCCCCCCTCTCGCTCACCTCTCTCATCTCTCTCCACCCAATCCTCTCTTCTCTCCTCCCTCGTCACGTCCTTCCTCGTCTCCATCCTCCTCCCGGCCTCACTCGTCTTCGTGCTCGCCCTCGTGCTCTCTCTTCCATCACCTCCCCTCGTGTTCGCCCTCCTCCTCTTCCTCTCGGCTCTCCCCTCCCGCTCCTCTTCTCTCTTCTCTCCTCTCTCTCATCCGCTCGCGTCTCTCTCCTCGCCTCTCCTCCCTCTTCTCCTGCTCGGCGTCATCTCTTCTCCAGGCTCCTTCTCTCTCTTCTCTCTATCTCGCTCTCTCGTCTCTCATCTTCTCTCTGTCTCTCCTCTCCTCCTGCTGTCTCTCCTCTCTCTGTCCCCTCGGTCCTCTCTCTGTCTCTCCTCTCTTCTCTGTCCATCCTTCCTCTCTCCCCTCTTTCTCTTCTCTCTCTCTCTCTCTTGCTCTCTCTTTCTCAATCGCTCAGGTTCTACCCTCTCCCCTCTCTTTCTCCCCTTTCTCTCTCTTTTCCCTCCCCTCTCTCCTCTCTCCTCTCTCTTCGTCACTCTCTCCTCTCTCTCTCTCTCCGCTGTCTCTCCCTCGTTTCTCTCCTCCGTCCTCTTCCTCTCTCTCTCTCTCTCTCCTCTCTCTCCTCTTCTCTCTCCTCCCTCCTCTCTCTCCCTCCTCTCCTCTCTTTCTCTCTCTCTCTTGTCTCTCTCTCTGTCTCTCTCTCTCTCTCCTCTCTGTCTCTCTCTCCTCTCTCGACATCTTCTCCCTCTCTTCCCTCATCCTCTCCCTCCCTCTTTCCTGTCTCCTCTCCTCTCTGTTCCTGTCTCTCTCTCTCTCTCTCTGTCTGTCTCCCTCTCTCTCTCTCTGTCGGTTTCTCTCTTCTTGGTCTTGTCTCTGTCTGTCTCTGTCTCTCTCTCCTCTGTCTCTGTCTCTCTC